TTACTGATAAAATAAATGACTCTCCAAGGAAATCAAGTAAAATCAAATGGGTGTCCTTTAAGCCAATTAAAAATCTAGAATGCATTTTTTTCTGATTCATAATCCAAAGCAATTTCTATCACACTGCACACAATGATTACATGTCCTTTCTGAGACATGGTTTTTAAAAACCCATATGATGATTCAGACAAAAGTTTGTAGCATCCATTCCACACTCCCAAGCAATCTCTAGAAATTCAGACAAATGTTACTGGAAGAAAAAAAGTTATTGTCACTTTTAAGATGGCAGTCATGTGTGGAAACAATGTACAGCAATGTGATAACAGAGATTCCTTTCTTCTCCCTTTTCATTTTCCATCATTTTTACTTTGCTTTCCTCATTCAGTTTGCTTTTTGTATTTTTCCATTTTCATTATCAATTACATGTTCCTCATTCATTCCACCACTATTTCATTACTCCCTTGCAATATTGTTTTCTTTGAGGTAAGAGAAAGCAAAATGGATTCCAGCCTATGAAAAGCTGAGATTGAGATTTCAATTGCCTTTCATACAGCTGTAAACCCATCTCCAGGCAGAACAGCAGCTCTTAGGTGCTGGACAGCAAAAAGTCAGGACAGTTTCAGCTTCCCGCCCGTATAAATTGCCCTGGAAGAACCTCATATTTGCATACATGGTAGAATTTCTTTACTGAATAAGTATTTCAGCTGAAGCGGCTTACATCTGATGTCTGTCAGACTCTGGCTGTAATCTGAACCCAGTGGAGAAAATGAGTGGTGAGGCACAATGTGCTTGCCAGAACTTGACCGTGACAGTAAGGTGAGAAAGGTACAAAGCCAAGTCAGGAAAGGGAATGTGTTCAGCAACATGGAAGAAAAAAATTACTTAGCCTTACATAAGAATATTTTATGGAATGAATATTCAGTTCCTTGTTATTTACGGTATATTTAACACTTTATTTCTGCAGGGGATTATTTTTCTTTTGATAATTAGAATCATAATTTTCCCATGTGTGCTGAGAACAGAATTTACATGCAGTCTCCTTCAGTGTAAAAAACTGTGTCCTATTCATTGTTACAGCTGCAGAAACCTTGCCATGGCACCCAGGTTATACTAGGCTGTTCAGTTCAATCAAATTCCTGAATATCAACTCCACATTAGAAACATAAGGGTTCTTTTTAAATGATTTTTTAAGTTCTCAAACTTCTTACAATACAGTTTCCCAATTTTCAGCAATTCACATAATTAGAAATAGAAGCCTAGGGTCTGCATTTGTTCCAATGTAAACAATTCTTATTCTATGCAAAATGTATGTAAATGTGTTAATTATGGATATCTGAGTAATATTTTCACAAAATAGGACAGAATTGCACAAAACAATTTTGAGTACTAGTAAAAACATAACTAGTTTTATACACCAAAGTTACTATAATGGCAATTACCTGGATAACTAAAAATCAAGCTTTCTTTGTACAAATAATGGATATAAATTTGATTTGTTGCTCTGTATTATCTGACATTAACCTATTAGGGAATCCTCTTAAAACGATACAGTTATCTAAGTTGAATACAGGCCCAGTGCTTCATTTTACCTCATGAAATTAAAATAAACCCTTTTTTTTAAAAACATCATTTTATCTATGATGGACATCTAAGAGGCATTTTATTTCTACAGATACTATCATACAACTTCCCTTAAGATATTATTAAAACTGAATTGTGGATTTTTCCAGACCTACAGCAGGATAATATATTTACAATTATTTTAATAGTTAAAATATAGTTTCCACATTCAAAAAAATTAATTTTGTTTAAGAAATCCATCAAAAATATAATCAGCCAGAAAATATTTTTAAAGAGAATAATGGAAAANAAGTTGTTTGATGTAGAGGCCTTTCCAACGAACATTTGTTTGAAAACAGAATTCCATAAACAGCAGATCTTATGTTCTGATTATATTAATGAGTTTTCTTAAACACTAAAATAAGAGGATACAATAATTGAGATGGGAAAACACAACCTTAAAGATTTATATATGGTATTTGTTTCTTATTACTCTACAAATTATCTTTATGAATGAACACACACTTGCAGACCATGTTGGACACAAAGTAAACAGGTTTTACCTAAACAAAGTTAGCCTTTGGAATAGTTAGCATAGATTTTATAAAGTCTCTATATTCCTTTTATATTGTAGTAAAAATATTCCCTCAAATGCAGTAAATGACAGATAAGGCCTTTGTGCAAACGTGTTAAACTTAAATTATCCTTAAAATAATCATGTCTAATCTTCATTGCTAATGTAATATTCATTCATTTGAAAAATATAGGACCATCAAAAAAAGGAAAAATTGATATATCTTAAGGTGATTTTGGATTTGGAAGTTTAATGATATCATTTATAATAGTCACACATATGTGTTTTGCAAATAAATTTGTTCACCTCACTATTCATATCAATGCACTCCAGTTGGGAATCATATTAACTTCTGTTAAAAGAAATTAGAAAAGTAACCATTAACCATCCAAAGTGCTTCCAAAGATGCCCAATTATTAACTAAATGCACATTTTTGAGAATATATTCTATAGAGACCAGTTAGAACAATCACTAGCCAGGACTGATGATTAGCCAAAGAATCACAGGTAATTCAATCACTTCTGGTTAATTCAAAGGAAACTGATTCTGATGCCTTGGTAATAGGAACTCTGTCAGAAAATGGAGACAAGTCCATCCTCTGTATCGCAGAGGTAGTGAGTCAAATATATTTTATGTACAATCCAATGGGTATATGGATTGGAATTGTGCAAGTCATGCAAGGTTCTAGGTTCTACTTATTAGGCTTTTTAAACATATTGTAATATAGTAAAAATGTAATAAAATTAAAGCCATTAGTATTTCAGAGCAAAGTAACACAAAGACTAGAAAAAAACAATTTAATTTAAAAAAAAACCTGTTCAGTCTCTGATTTAAAAAATAGTTTATACAGCTAGGAGTAAATAAATACTTATTACCACTTTCAGAATAACAACTATTTAAAAAAATACAACTCAGAATTAAACCTGTTATATGCTCTTTGTTTTTTCTAAAGCAATTATCTCTTAAGAAGTCACTTGATTTTTTTTCTCCCAAGTTACTACAAAATACCCATAATTGAAGGGAAAAGTAAAAAGAAAAAAAGAATAAAATAGGGAAATGAAAGTGATTTCCAACTAATATACAAAGTTTAAGTTATAAACATCATATTTGAGGTTAAAATTACTTTCTCAAAAAATCATCTTATTCAGATCACAGGATAGAATAATGAACCAAACATTTCAACATAAATGCAACAGGTAAGAGTGAAGTTGACTTCACTTTCACTTGTACGTACTAATTCTTAAAAAATAAAGTGAAGAAACGATGGGATATGATAGTAGACCCAAATAAAAAAAGTATATCGTGATGTTTCAACAGAAAGAGCAATGAAGATATTCTGTTTCATAATCTAGTTTGTTCTATTGTTTTTTTAAAAAAATGCTAAAAAATTAACGAGACCTATTGAGTGAATAGTGGAACAGTCGAAGCTCAACACAATGTATCTGCAAAATTATGCATTCTACACATAAGATGAAATAGCTGGACAATAAACAGAATTTTGCATAGAAACTACTTCCTTCTAAAACAACACTTTTCAATTTGATTCATTTCTTAATGTTTCATTGGTGAAACATCTACTCAAGGAACTTTTTTCCTTTCTTTTTCTCTTTCTGTAAGATTGATTTTGTTTTTCTTAAGCTCTTTTCAAACCATTTTGGAAGCTTTCTTAGGAATACTGTATTATTCAGCCAGAGAGGGTTAAATAAACAAAACAATTTTTTGGAAGTAGTGAAAGACTGCCCTAGCCTCAAATGACTGTCCAATGTCATGAGACATTGAAATGTATTTTACGTTACAATGGTACCAAACCTTGGCTCCTGTTCAGTTTTAGTCTTTATGAAATAAAATCATGCTCCAGTTGCTCTAACTGTGTTCTCTGGGTATTACTTACTTGAAGTATGTAAGACTTTCATTATTTAAGGCAACTTGATAAATCCTTAAAGTGTTGCCCAAACGAGATAAGTTATGCAGTAGAGATCCGACTTGGCTGAACCCAAGATCTTCTTGTGTTTATCTTTTATAAAATTCTTCATTTAAATACTAAAATATATTTGGAACCATACATTTAATCATGTTTTACAACTTAAGCAAGGCCTTGAGGTCTGTGTTTTTATTCATCCAACATAAGCAAGGCCTATGCTTTTATTCATTCTTTTTTTATTATTCTTATTGAAATTATACCTAGGATTTTTTTTTTCTTCTTGTTTTATATAAAGGTGGAATTTTGTTTGGATTTCATTTGAAAAAGCATTTGGGGAAATTTACAATGAAGGTTCAATCTATAAATAAAATCTTATTTGGCAGTCAGTACATCAGATCAAAATTTTATAGTGTCTGCCTTTCTCTTATATACTTTTTCTTAAACACACAATAAAATAGTGAAAACATCTTACTTTATGAAAAATAAATATAGATTAATTTAATCAGAGACAGAGGAATTATTTTATTTTTATTGGCTTAAATTTTATTTTTTCTTTTACTTTTCTTTTATGAACTAAAGCTCCTTTACTTTCAAATTATTAATTTCATAACTTAGACCTTGTTTATATGTTATGTACATGTTAATAATACCTGATATTTGAGAGCAATATTATATATTTTAAAAACTTAATATTTAAACAATTTTCTTCTGAGTTCTTCTTTTCCTGCCAATTATGCAAGGAAGCTTCTGTTAGGAAGTTTTGACATGCTTTTCTAGCTGAAAGGTAATACTCACAAACAAATAAATGAATAAGGAAGATAAGTATGATTCACAAAATATATCAAATAATTTGTATGGTATATATATTTGCTTAATTAGGAAAATGATTTTGTTTCCTTCCCTAACATGTATAATGTAAATTTGTCTCAGATATCTGTAATGGTAAATACATGAGTAAATATCCATATATTATATCCACATGTAAGTCATGAAATAGATAAAAAGGCAACTCCTACCTCCATCTCCAGATCCTGATCCTGCATCTGGGGGGAGAAAAGAAATACTTTGTTTTTGCTGAAAAACATATTCAAAAAATATTTTTGACTTTTTTAGTTCATGTTTACTTTCTTAACTAAGACAGTAATGTAATTGAGAAAATTACTAATATTTAGTATGAAAATGTATATTCACATCAATTTGATGTCTATACTATAACATTAAAAAGTCTCTATGATTTTTATTCTTAAAATCTATGAGAAACGTGTTAATCTAGCTTTGGAATAATTCCTAAACTTGATTATATAAAATCTCTCATATTTTTATTTAAGTAAGGATGAATTTGGTGCCGTTAACAGCAACAAAAACTGAAAATGAGATGCCTGTAACAATCAGTGACATTTAGAAATTAAACAGTCTAAAATGTGTGGAAAACAAACTCATAATTAAGGTTTAAATTCTTGTAAATCACATACGCACAAAGAGAAAAACAGTTTTAAAATGAGTATCTTTTTATATAATTGTTAATATGTTTTCCAAACACCACAATTGTAGATGAGTCTATCTGCCACCGAAAACATCCTTTGTTCCGAAAATAAGTAGAAAAGTGAGATTAACGTTTGCCTTTGTGCTTAAAATTGGATATACCCTAGGTGATGCTGGCTGAACAATCTCCCTTTTGCATTTCTCGTTCTTCATTTCTTTTCTCCTCCTCCCTCCTATATAATTACAACTGGTTGAAGTTGTCTATTTCTGAGAACTTAGTTCCCAGAAACACCAAGTTTTCTAGTTGGAATCAAGACCATTGAGTTGCCATAAGTTTCCAACTGTTCAATGTAGACATTATGTTCCTTCTGCCTTCCTACTTCTACTAAATACATTTGGTTATATATTTTTAATGTTAATACTGGGAAATAAGACTCATACTGGTATTCTCTGTCTGATATGCTCTCATCTCACACTGAAATTTCAGCCAGGTTTAGGAACTATATTAAATGCCACTTCTATGGATTTGTGTTTGGTGTTTTAGTCTAATTAAAATAAAACATTTCTTCTATTTGTCTGCCTCCATGACACTTGATTGAGAGGCACCACATGTATGAAAATCCACAGGATGCTGATACATATGAAGTGTGGATGTCTTCCCACTAGTCCTCCATTATCATGTTAGGCATTAACACTGCCACGAAGAAGCAGTTGTTTAAAGGAGCAGGGATCAGCGGTATGATGGAGACTCACATTAACTAAATTGCTTGTATTTCACATGTGTGTTTCTAAAAATACAAGGGAATATGGTCCTTAAAAAATTTTTGTTTTGACCCAAATTAAGTAGCATGGGAAGAAAGGAAGAATCGATTGAAAAAAATAATCACTTAAGTCCACGGCATCATTATAACATAGTGATTGGAAGCTTTAATGGTTTCTTTACTATAAATGAGTCATCTTGGCAAACCAGATATAAGCAGCCTAGTAAGCTTTATAAGCGAAACAGAAAAACTTAAGAAAAGAGATTATGCTATTGGGCCTGAATATGGGCTCCTAGTCAATGCATTTCTTGTTAAATTGATAGTTAGGCTATTGAGCAGATGGCCCAATAGGAAACCATTTTCTGGACAAAAAAAAAATTGTTCAGTTCAGCGAAATATATTAAATATAAAGTTATATCTTCTTCTGCCTTTTATTCCTGGAGATCACATCTTGTTACCTCCACTCAATGTTAAATACCATTTTTAAAAAATGGAAAATTTATGAAGAAAAGAATGAGAATATCTTTTAGATCAAAAGTTAGAACTTCAATTTATTTACAGTCAGACCTAGTTAATCAAAATCATTTGGGTCCCTCCATCATTATTTAGCCCAAAAACCTTTTAGATTCACAAGTCAATGGAAGATGCATTCAGCAAGACAAGCTTACTAATTAAATTCTGCAGAAATCTAAGTGTGTAAATAAGCTAGGTATAACTTACTCAATTGTGATTAAATTTACTTGGCAAAGTATTTATTTTCATAGTATAACGAATACATTAGGGACTAGAATGGAAAGATTTAAATGAATCAGGAGACCGTTGATTGCATGTACTTATAAGACTTTGGAGTCTGGCAAGTAAGAGAGATTATGCTACCAAAAGTTGTTCGCCACAATCATAACTTCAGGGCTGTTTAGTACTATTATTGCTGGCCCATTCTCATTTGGCTATTGTCAGAGACAGATATGTACCCTACGTGATCTCAAGTGAATTCTTTCCTCAGTACTATCTGGCATTTGCCAGTATCATTCCTGGCTTCTGGGAGTCAAAGATTCCGTTTTTTTCCCATTCCATTTGTCTTATAGTATCACTTTTAATTTTGTTCCTTAGGTATGGCAGAGTGATTTTTCATAATTAATTGCTCCTTGTCTTTCTTTATGTTTCCCACATCTTTACTATAAGGGTAGCATGCTAATCCTCCTTCTTCCTTACTGCGGACACAAGTCCAATGACTCTCATGTGTAACTGTCTTTTTCATTCATTATGTCTCACTCGCAGTTGGAGCAGCAATGATCTGCTTGGCAAATCAGAAGCAAGTAGGGCAGCAGTCCAGCTTGCCTCCTGATCACCCTTCCATGTGAAGGACATTCACATTGTGAGGCAAACACCATGTAGGAGGAAAGACTACTTAAAAGCCAAAACCAAAATAAAAAAGCCCATATCATTGTCTATGAGAAATAATACCCATCTGATGCTCATTCTTAGACACCTCAGTAGTCACTGGTATAACTTGGAACATTATAAATGACTAAACATCAATAGGCTTAAGATAATCTTTTGTATGAGATGTTCTCCTTGCTCATCTACAGTCCTGCCCCAACCATCAGACGCACGACTTTTAACATAGTTCCCTAGAATGTAAACATGTTATCTAGGGGGGACTTTTCAATATAATAGACTTTTCCTAGCACTATTGTGCATTGCCATTTTTGAAGGAAGTTCATATTTTATATCACTATTATTTTTTCCTACATATGCTTATATTACCAAATTCCTCAGAGTGATGACTTTCCAGAAAGATACTTATTTGCCATGATGGAAAACTATAATGAGACACTAAAGTTTCTTTACTGTATGTATAGTTTTCATGTCTCAACCTAACCTGAAAATACAGCTCCATTTTAAAGCATTGCTCTATCGAGTTCAGCTTTGTTTGCTTCCCTTTTTTTTTTCCTTTTTCTGCCTGTAATGTTGGTTAGCCTTAATAGCCACTGTACATAAAAGGAAAACCTAAAATGCTAAAGAGCAAATGAAGTCACTCTTCTTCCTCACTTTCTTCAGAGAATTCTTGGTACAATAGGACTAAAAAGTTTTGCAGAATCCCAAACTGACTGTGTCAGAATGTACAGAAGTCACTAAAAGTAATGTCTATCCCAATAACTTTTTCAATATAATCTGCAAAATGGTAAAAAGAACATTTTGTAGCACTAAGGTTAGCCACTTAATAACTCTCAAATCCAAATCTTCAAAGCTGCCCTCCAGCAGATTATGCAATTGTTCAAAACAAACAAATAAGTAAACAAACAAACTTTATCCATGCATGGGTAGGTTTCTACATGCTTGGCACATGGATGGTTAATCTAGATTTCTAATTATATTATTCAACTGTCTGCACTTCATTAAATAACATACGTATTAAAGTCTGCTGGCATTATTATGGCAGAGTTTCTCTTTCTTCCAAAAGTGATTTGAAATGTTAAAAGACATAGAATAAGAATAATGCATGCTTTGTACAAAAGAGTAAGAGGCTTCTCTAGCTAATACACAATCTGAATTACTAATTTGGAGATTACATAACAGGAAAAACAAGACATGGTTTTAGAACGTTTTGGGGAGTCTTCATGAGCATACATACATACCCGTGGCACACGATCCTTCAGACATCACAAGTATCTCACTCTGCTGTTTGCATGCAGCCTGCCGCAGGTAACACTCATTCTGGTAGCTCTCCCCGTTGGAGCCACACACAGGCACATAGTCATTGTTGCACTGGGGAATACACAGATGTAAGCCTACAGTTAGTGTTGGAGTCTGCATGCCTCTGACATCTTGAACAGAAATAATCACTTACAAAAGAAAGCACTTGTCTTCCTTTTCAGTGATCCCCATTGTATCCATTAGATCTTTGACCTTGAAAGGGCATCATTCAGAGATAAACAAAAGCAATGTCAAGTCAGCCAGCCAGTCATCTGATTCAGTTAGAAAAAAGAAAAGGCTTCTAAACTGATCAGGCAATTCCAACAAATTGATTGGACAAGCAATATTAAAAAGATACAGCACCAAATGTATCGATATTATTTAATACTGTTTTTCTGATATGGCCTATGGTGGAAAAATTAAAACATGCTACAATATTAAGCTATCCAACAATAAGTAATGTCTATTGTGTTTAGAGCAGAAGTATACAGCTGAAGTGCCAAATAATTCAGTTACTCCTTAGCACGTTTTTTCTCTGTGGAATTTTAATCTTAACAAATGTCTAAATATTTGGGTAAGACATTTGGGTTACTAATTATTTTCCATATCACTTTAGATTATTGGATATTGATGTAGATAACAGTGTGGAGAGAATCAACAGGCAATGGAATACAGGAAAAAATAACTACTGAACCATAGTAAACTTTATTGACTCTTCAAAAGTACAACTATTAATACAAGTCTCATAAAGAGAAAAATTCATTTTGAAAACAAGCTTTCACAAAAATGTACAGATTTTACAATGGAAATTAGGCAATCTACAGGGTATACTCATCATAATATAATCACACTCTAAGGCATTACAGACACTTGGCTGTGTCCTATACCTGCTAATTACACAAGAGATGTAATTATCTCATGATTACTACTACTGATGCCACTTCATTGTTTAATTATAACAAGTGTAATGATCAAGATGATTATTTATAAATACTCATCTATGCCAGACAGTAAGTAAAGCAAATCAAATCATACATACACATGCATGTGAATATACTTTGTTTTCTACTTCTTAGTAAAGTATTTGGATTTTTGATGTTCTGTAAATTAATAACACATACAAAATAAACAAATGACCTAGTGAGATGGCTAGGAAAGTTTTAATATGTATGATAATAAATCTGAAATTCCACCATAAGTTAAATTCAACTCAAGGATTTGTACAAAAAAGGAGCAACTTTTCAGTAAGGCTATAAAAACCTGAGATTTATTTATTTTTTCTCTCCTTACAATAGCTACACTTCTCCTTCCCAATCAACTATTTAACTTGGGCTTTACATAATAATGGCTTAATCATCTTAATTTATTAATGGTAAAAGCTCAATGTTCTCTGAAATGAATATCTTAGTTTACGAGTTTTACTTTGTATCTATTATTGAAAAACTTGAATATAATTTTTTGCTAATAGTTATATACTTTTCTCCCAATAGTAAATTCAAATTGTATGGTACTCATATTATGATCACCATTATTACTAACATGGTAATTCATATGTTAAACCATATCTATTCAAAAGGTATTTAAATATGATTAAATGTTATAAATATTTTAAATGACATATTTTAAGATCCTTATTTCTACAATTTCTAATCTAGACATTTTAGAAGCACTCTATACAATAATTCCTTTCTATAGTTACACTATTGGCTCCCAGACTCAGACTATCTATGTGATTATATTTTACAAATTATTCTGATTGGAACTTTTCACTAATGAGGATCTTTAACTCAACAGACAATTCACTTTTGATCAGGTTATACTAAGGGCTGCCTTGTACAAGCTTTCTAAACACACATGTATTTTTTAACTTAACATTTGAATACTGACCTACAATGAGACTGAAAATCTTCCTCACTACTGAAGAAGAAAGGCAATAGCGAAACGTCAGTGAAGGGTTGAATTTTCCTGTGAGAAATACTGAAGAGACACCAAATAAATGGGTCTCAAGTTCATGGCAGAATCATGGCCAGGGAGGTGGGTGGATGCACAGGTGCCTGATAAATGTGCAGTGCTCAGGATGAGAGATGGGAAAATGTAAAGAGGATTTATGAGGATCCACTAACACTACAATGATACATGAACAATGGAGGAGAGACCAGAAAGAAGTGAATAGCTGTAACTATTATGGTCAACAGACTTGTTGACCCTCTCAGTAGGCAGAGAGAATTACCACCAGTGTGGACAGATGGACAAGTTAGCTTCTCATGCTCAGGTTCTAGTGTTCTTGTCCTTGGTTATCTTTTAATTTCCACCTCCAACCCTGGTTACCATACTCTGAGGGTAGGTTATTGAGTCCACATTTTCTTCTCCCCACTCCTTGGAATTTCTCTATTTATCCTCCTATCTACTTCTGCAGATTACTCACATACAGTCAGTGGACAGGGAGTGAAAGGTGGGAAGTATTTATTATCTCTGTCAAGTGCTAGTACACAACGCTGATATGCATCTTAAAATGCCGAATAAACTGATAAAGTTCTCATATGCCACTTCTGAGGGATGCAGTAAGCCAAATGTGAACACTGCTAAAAACAGAGCTGCCAAGTTCCAAGCACAAGCCAAAAGGGAGATTTGTATAGAGCTGAAAAGAGCTTAACTGTAGATTATCAGCATGATGCTGTTTGGCCGTTAGTACTGTACCGTGACTTGTGCTCATTAATATGAATAGTACAAAGAAGAAGCATACTCTAAACCATTAAGGCTCAGGAGTGGAAGTCTGGTCCCAGGTTCTCCCATTTCTCTTACTGCCTTGCTGTAGGATCTTGTGTATATCACTCATCAATTAAACATTTAACAAGTTTATAGCTCAGTTTCCCCATTTGAAATAGTTAACTGAGGCATTTAGGAGTAAAAGAGTAAGGTTTTTAAAACTCTTAGGAATATTCATTTATAAAAAGAAATGTCTAAAATTAGAAAAATAAAGAAAACAGGATAATCCTAAGCATAAAAATAGGCTAACTACTACATTAAAATATGTCAAACTATTGGAAATAATTTTTAATGGTGATCATGATGACATTGCCGAGTTTCAGATGAAGGGACAGATTCAGTTGTTAAGTGACTTGCTAAAGGTCACATATTTGGCTGGTAAGAGAAAGAACAAGATTCAGACCCAGATGGTCAGACCCGTAAATGCACGTGTTGTACAAACTTCCTCTCAGGGGAAAAGCGATTCTGTTTTTCTTAAGATGTTTTAGAAATTTTAAGTTTATTTTCCAAATATGTGTTTTTTGGTAGGTTGATTTTGCTTCAAAAAGTCCAATTGCTGAAGAAAGCAGCTACATACCACACTAATGAATTCAATGACTTAACACTCTAGAATATATGGAATTAATTTTCTACAAATGAACAAAAAGTTTATGTGAAAAGTTTTTTATATGATTTATTGCTTGTTTGGTTAATAAGTGTTTCTTTTAGCTAAGATTTCAGCATCTAGAAGCTATGTCTAACCTATATTTTATATACTGCCAGCACCTTCCATAAAGTCTGGCATGTAGAAGGTGCTCCACAGATGTTAGGTGAATTCTGTTACATTCCCAGTTGTCAAAAGCTTAAGAATAATGTCTTAGGATATGGTATATTTCTTTTCCAAAAAAAAAAAAGATAAAAACCTGCATATGTCCCAATCCCTTGATCATTCTATAAGTAACTTTCACTTCACTTTAATTGAAACTTTTTAATGATTCTAAGTGTTAACAGGCCTGTGACTATGGTGAATGTTACTCAGTGTGACTTCCAAGGCTAGGTCATTAAAGGGTACAGCTTCTACCTGGCTCTTTCCCTCTGGATGCTTGCGCCTGAAACCAGCCACTGTAGGAGGAAGCGGAAACCAGCCCATACAGAGATCTAAATGGAGAAGGACCAAGGCCCCCAGCTGACAGTCACACATATGCCCGAGAGCCCTGAGAGCAGTAAGAACACCCTGAGTTCCCTCCCCACCTCAGCTAATGTAAGAGGGAGCAGAGAGCTATTCCCATTAAGCCCTGGCAAACTACAGATTGGTGAGAAAAAGAAATGTTCATTGTCTTGGGCCACCAAGTTCTGGGCAATTGTTACGAGGTCTTAGGAAATAGAACAGTTGAGTATCTAAAGCCTAGCTTATTAAGGGAAAAGATTTAATATTTGAATTAAGTAATATCTAAAAACCAGCATAATTTTAAATTATAAAGTGATAACTGGTCAATGTATGACCAGTGCTATCTGTGCATAACTGCATATGTGTCTGCTTCCTTCCCCTGTCCTTTCCTCCCTCCGTCCCTTCCTCCCTCCCTCCCTCCCTCCCTCTCTCCCTTCCTTCCTTCCTTCCTTCCTTCCTTCCTTCCTTCCTTCCTTCCTTCCTTCCTTCCTTCCTTCCTTCCTTCCTTCCTTCCTCTATCAATCCATTTACTGCCTATAAATTTTCATCTCCACAGATGACTTAAAGATGGATCAATATGCCATTTGGTATACTGATAGAAGGGTAGAATGCATGAGGTTGCAGGCCATTTCTGGAACTCAAATCACCTGAGTATTAGTTGTACTACTTTCAACATTAAGAGTTGTCTAATAAATTGGTACTTTTGCTGTTGTTACTGATATGTTCATTTGCATGTACAATGTCCTAGAAAAAAAAATAGGCTCATTGTCAAAGACCTAGGTTCTTACTTTAGGACCACCACTTAATATAACTTTTTTACATTTATGGGCCTTAATAGCCTCATCTGTAAAAGAAGGAGAAAATAATTATCTCACTTAGTTGTGAGAAATAAATGAGAGAATATATTTGAAGGGAAGAATACATTTATTTTAAGTCAAAGAGAGGTAAAGACAAATATGTTTACTTTAAAGCTACAATAATAATCCAAATTGGAAAACATTATAGATCATACACACATACATCCACGTCTCTTTGATATTTATCTCTCAGCCAGAAAGACCATAGTCTGCCTCCTATTTTTAAGGAAGAATTTGTGCTTGTATCTGAAAACATAGGAGAAACAGAGTAGATGACCTCAGCTAGTTTAGAATAGTACATAGGAAAATAGAATTTCAAGACATCTCCCTTTTCTCAAAAAACAAAACAAAAAACAAAAAAAACAAATTCATTGCAAAGTATTGGAATGGACTGACTCAAGATACTCTTGGCCTAAAATATCCTATTTCTCTTTGTACAACTTGTACATTTTCTTTGATCTCCAATTTAATTCAGCTTCTCTATAATCTTCATATGAATTCTCCACTAGAAAAATGTTTCTTTTCTCTTGACACTGAAAACCATTGCAAAGCACCAACTAATAGCAGTAGTAACCTAGTAATAAACTTAAGATGCTACAGGCATTAGGAAAAGAAAACTTACATTTTAGTTTCTTATTCAAACTTAACTTGCTTTCACCCCCCCACTCCCAATCTATTCCACTCAATTATTTAAACTAATGACAAATATGACTAGCTGATCAATCCATGAAAAACACAAATATCTTTGTTAATAAAAATTTTACCAAAATCCTTTGTGAAACCTGCAAACTGAATGCAATTCCTTTAATAAGAAAATTACACATTTCCTTTTAGTAGCATGTATCCGTGTAGAATTTTGTGAACTCCATTATTTTTCTCTTAGCAAAATCTTGTTAGAATCATGGCTTTCCATTTGAGGAATGTTCTTCTTGGTTCATTTCATTACTGCTTATGAGTTTACTTCTTATGTCTACTCCTGGTTATAAAAATAAGAAAATTTATGGAATTCATAAACTGAAAGAGGGAAACAATTCACAAAATCCAGTGGCCTTTAATTAATGATATTTTCTAACTGTATTTTTTGTTAGTTAACATCTGGGTTAAGTATGAACTGGAGAGTTCTCATGCCCCATCTCTTTCAAGTAGTTCACTGAAAGGACATAATTAAATGGTTCAGTGTGGCTGGAGACCTTAGAGGTTGGTGTCACATGCATATTAAATATGCATGAATATGTTTCTAACACTATAATATGGTCTAAAGACTGTACTGTGGTCACAGCAATACTGACCCACCAGGAGGTGGTGCACTTTACAAATGTCAGTTGTTTATTGTTTTTCTTAGAAAGAAGAAAACGGTATCCAAGAAGCCTTAAGCTTATCTATTAGTTATTCAAACTGTATTTAAATGTGAATTCCCTTAACTATCTCCCTGGGAAGTCCAACTCAGTCTAAAATACTTAAATTTCATCAACTATTCTAAATATTACATATTACAACAAATATTTAGGCCTAAATTTGACTTTAATGGTTTCATTTGTTTTATATGTTATTTATTTTTTTGTTTGCTTATAATCTTGGAAAAATTTCCCCTGATGCCATGTATATATTTTTGTTCCTGTGCTTATTTCTTAGTTGAATTTTATGTTAGATTTCATACATATTTAAAGAAAGTAATTCAGTAATACTGAACGGTACATATAAGACACTAACACAAAATCTATATTTGAAGATATATATGATTGTATAAACATTCTGAAAGAATAGGTTTATAATTTACATGGTCAAAAGCATTTGTTAGATGATGACTATAATAATGACATTAAGAGTTCTATCTTTGATAGATACTAATGACCTAGATTTGATGATACCAGAGCTGAAATCTCTCTGTCTTTTTATTTTTACTTATTTTTTTTAACTTGAGGCAAAGTACATCTTCCTCATGTTTATGAAATGACTTGTGGCTATTTGTACTTTTTCAGACTCCTGGAAGATTCAGTTGTACCTGAACATGGTACCCATGAAAAGCTGACATATATTAATAAGTTTCAAGATTTCCAAAACTAGCACAGTAGTTTTGAACCTACATGATACAGGGCTCATTTAAAAAACTAAGTCAGATTGTAAAGATAATAAAACCCAAGACCATTAAAACAGGGAGCAATAAGATGAAAAGATTAGGGCTCCAATCAAAAAGAAAAAAAGTACAAATCCTCACTTCTTATCCACTGGCTATTCTGACTAACATCCTGGGTAGCTGGCTTATAAAATACATGCTAGACAGGGCACAGGAACATAATTTTCCTTTGACACATCAAAAGAACAACCTGAAACTTTCCACCTCCAGTGGCATTTTTAACTATGGCATATACATTTCTGCAAAATGCTATGTCTTCTTGACATCAGTTGGCTCTCTTGCCAGTACTTTTGCTTGGTGCCAGCTTTCCTCTTAGCTTGCAGAGTTATAAATTGCCAAGTGATGGGTTGTAAAGGGAGATCCCTTTGTAGTCTCATTAATGAATTAGAAGATGCAAATAGCAGACTTCTTACCTTAAACTGACAGACGCAAGTCACAGTGTCTCCAATTCTTAGACATTCCCCATCAAATTTACAGGTGTTGGTGTCACAGAGGAAAAGATCATTTTCTCTGTCATCGTAACCTAAAATTCAAAGAAAACGTTCCAGTCATTAAAAAATGTTATAAACTTTAACAAAGAGAGCACAATCTTGGAACTTTAAAAGAATTGCCTAAATTTTAATTTCAACATTTGTAGCAGTGCTTCAAGGTCATTCTCTACTGATAAACTCCAAAATCTAGTTAAGGGATCAATAGTCCTTTCTTCTTTTTTCACAATTCTTTTCTACCCAGTTCTTTTTTTAATATCCTTTTTTGATAGTGCTATTTTAGATTGGGTTAATACTGGCAGTAGTGAATGAAGATTTAATACTTGCTTCCTAGCTTCCTTATTTTTTTCTCATTAAGTGGACTCTAGTTTATGACTCCCAAACTCCACATTATAGGAAAGAGCTGGTGATGGTCTCTGGATGCCATTTTACCATTTCTCTATCTTTAATCATTCTTTTGCTTTAAGGTCTGAAACAACCTCTTATTTGGAATTCCTCCAGACAAAGAGGAAAGAAAGCCCCAATAATAAAGATAGACAGGCACAGTGTTTTCTGTGATGGTCTGTCTGGCTCAAATGAAGATTGATCACTTCTAAGTTAACAGGCGTGGGGGGCTTGGGGGGTGCTAGATTCTTTGCCAATCTGTGTGGAAAACCAGTTCATTCTTAGTTTCTGCAGATCCCTTTAAGATACCTGTCTAATAATGAATTTCTTCATTGCCAACCTCAATTTTACATTTAAGTTAATAATTTTCTAAAACAATATTATAGTTAGGGATGAAGCAAACCAGTCCTGTTGGGCTACAAAGCTATCAACATTTCAAACAATTGATTTTGCAGGTGAATATTCCTGTGATTAAAGCATCTAAAAAGTGATTAGGTGCTTGCAAAGTGGAACTTAGTTTTCCAAAATAATATACATTCTTGCATGAGCCGTGAATAAGTAAAAAAATGTTAAGTTTTATAAAAACGCCAAATTTAGAAATTGCCCAAAACAGAACAAAGGCAATCTATTGACTCAAATCTAATAGGTTGCAAATCTCAAGCTGTCTTTAAAAATCACAAACTACCGTGATGCACAGTGATCTTCCTCATGGAATTTACATCAGTAACCAGCCAAGGGCTTCATGTTCTTTCATCCTGTAAGTTACAGTTGGTCATTCCCTTCTCTCCCAAGTTACATACACTTCAGTTCACATACATTCCTGAAAGCCACTTGATTTAGAGTCATATTTAATTACAGCAGAATTGTATTTACAGAAGATGAAAAATTACACACACACTTGCCAAAACTAGAACAGATCAGACCGAGGGGACAATACCCAGGCATTTTAATGGAGTTTAAATACCAGGGAAATCACTCCAAAATCCCACCCGGCATTCTAGCGGCTGTCAAACTGTAATGCGAAGCCAGCTCAGAGTGCAGCAACTCCCATTCTCGGGCCCCATTTAATTAGGAGGCTTCAGCAAACCAAAGCTTGCCAAGCTCTGGCGTTCAGACTCTAAAGGGACCCGAGTGAGCAAGAGCGCCTGACCCACTCCCAGGAAGCCTGCCCAGAAATGGAGGAGTTAGCGCCCACCGGGGTTGGTTCCGCCCTCTATCCGCCTGTGCTGGAGCCTGCCTGGCCTGGGTCATGCCCATCCCTGCCTGGGAAGCCAACCGGGGGTTCTTTTCTCAACTTCCCTCCACCGTGTAGGAGCCTGGAGAAGGAAGAGAGAGACATCTCGGGGTGCAAAAACAACGTCTTTTGCAGCCAAGTAGAGAGGGAGGATGAGAGACAAGGAGGGAGAGAAAGAGAGTGAGGAATTGAATCTCTTGCAACCCAAGCTTCTTTAGAATCCGTGTGACCTGGTCTTGAAAGCGAGACCAGCGACCCTCATGGCACTTTGGCCAGTAATCAGCATTTTCCTTGCACTCACTATTAAATCAAATGCTTTCTTGCTCGTTCTTTCTCATAAAGTTATTTCTCATTCATTTCAGCTAGACTTTCTTTCTTTAATGATGGGAACGGTTCTTTTTTTAGTGTTTCCCCCAAGGAGAGGTGCTTTTTTCAGTGAAGCCACAAAACCATCCCGTTTAATATTTCTTAAAAATCTTCGCAAATACAATTTAAGTGCCAGGATGCAAAGATCCTACACCTGCACTTTCTGCCTCCCCTGCCTCCCACCCCCTTCCTCAGGGGCCTGGAAATCGTCCGTGCTCCTCCGGGCGGAGGTCGGTCGTCTCAGGGGTCTGGGGCAGAAAGAGGTGAGAGGCTGGGAAGACGCACTAAGGTGGGCTGTGTGTGCCGGAGATGCGCGTGTCCTCTGCGGGCGAAGGGGTCGGGGGCTGGGGTTCTGTCCTTACCAGAGCAGTTCCAGCCGGTGGGCGTTTGGCAGTCACTTAACGAGGTAGGGAAAGCCGCGAGCCTCGCCGGGCGGGCCACGAGAAGTAGCGTCACCGGGAGCAGCAGCAGCCAGCAGAAGCCCTCGCAAAGTGTCCAGCTGCCGCACTGCCGCGGGGACTCCCACAGCACCATGACTAGTTCGCGCAACTCCGCAGGAGCGAGCGGCTTCCGAGGAACACACGAACGCGGGCGCCGGGCAGCGGGCTACTGAGCATCCCGCGGACGGCGGCAGCACAGGCGGCGGCGGTGGCAGCGGCACCCGACGGGGAAGCAGCGGCCAAACCCGCGCATGATCCCGAGAGTTTCAGCAACATCCAGTGACCCGGCTCAGCCCCGGGCGCGAGTGGGTCGTGGGTTCAGAAGCTGCGCCGCAGACGCGGGAAGCCGCTGCCATAAGGATGGGGCTCGGGAAGCCGGGAGAGCAGCAGGAGACCGAGTCCAGAGAGCCCAGCGGGGCTGCGTGGAGGGAGATTCAAAGCGCCCCACAGCCGCGCAGCCTCCTCTCGCGCTCTGCCGCCCGCATCCCTCTGGCGTTTGGGAAGCAGCAGGTCCTTAGCCCGCCGAGATCACGTGGGAAGAGGCCTTCGACCGCTGATTGGCGGAGAGGGATGCAGGTCCCGCAAGGGAGGGGTCGGCGAGGAGGTGCAGGGGGAGGCGCCGGCGGATGCCACAGATGGGCTGGCTCGCCGGGCGCTGGCCCGAGCGGGGCTGGGCGGAGACGGCGCAAGTGAGAAGCGCGGGCTCCGGGGTGGGCGACTGCCGCACCTTCGCGCTCCGCCGGCCCGTTCGCGCTCAGCCCCAGGACGCCCCCTACCGAGCACGGGTGCTACCTAGCGCCGGTCCGCTGTGCGTAACCCGGCAGCTAGTGCCCGCCGTGGGTGGCGTCTCCGAGCCGGGGCTGGAGAGGGCGGAGGCGGCGGGGCTGGGGGAGAGCGGCACGGCGGAGGGGTGTCCTGCTGGCGCCCCAGGCCCCAGAGTGCGGACACGGGCCGGGAATATCGCCGCGGGAGCCGGGCACGTTTCTCTAGAGGAGAGGGTGAGAGGCGGTGGTGAGAGCACTGACCGGCCTGGCAGCAGCAGCAGGTCCCGCAGGAACCTGCGACCCTGAGGCCGCTCGCCTAGCGGCTCGGCCAGCCTCCCAGGCTCTCTCCGCTTCCTTCGCCTTCTCCCCTCCTCTCCCGGTCCCCCTGCAGCCTCCACTCAGCCACAGGAGCCGACGGATTTAAGCCCCGTGCCGTTCACACTCTCATCTCCAGCCGCGAGCGTATTTGTAGGCCGCCCGGGAGGTGAGGGAATATGTGTTCGGGAGGTCAGGTTCGGTCCGGATAAGTGGTGAGAGGAAGGGAAGGCTCCTCTGCATCAGCAGCGGGCGGTGGCCGGGCTCATCCGCCAGGAAGCAGCGGCGGCGAGGAGCGAATCACTTCAGCGGCGCGGGCAGTGGCCCTGGGCGCCTTAGCGGGTCTCGGCGGGACCGCCAGTGACCCGGGCGCGGCGGGGTCTGACTCGGCAGGAGTGTGTGGTTCTGCGCCTTTCCTGTCCCTCCAGGCAGCTCTGGACAACCGCGTAGCGGGGCCCGCCTTCCCTCTGCCGCATTCTTCACCCAGTTAGATACGCTTTTCAGCCTAATGGTATTTTAGACGCTGGTAGCGGGACCCAGAGCTTCCCGGGACACGGCTGGAGGGGAGCAATCTTCCTCTCGTGACCCGGGTCATTATTGCAGTGACAGTGTTTTGGATGCCCTGCAAGGAAGAGTTTTCTTTTCTGTGTGATTGTTCAGTGATTCAGGATTTTTTTTCTTTCCCCGCACCCTCCCTCTCCTTCTCCCTCTTTTTCCTCTCTCCCTCCTTCCTTCACTCTGCAGCTCTCTTTCTTTAAAGAGCCTTCATCTCCTTTTTCCTCTTTTTAAATACCGTCTTTCCCCCCTCTCCTTTTGTGTCCCCCTGATTTTAGAAGAGCCCTGTTTTTTTTAACATCCCACAGGCAATTAGCTTCCATCCCCAATCACTTAAAAGAGGCACCAAAACACTTTGAAAACAGGGACTAGTTATTCTTTGCAGTCACGGCCAGAAAAACAAATTGTGTCCGAGCTAGCCTTTCAAGTACTTTAACCTCCAACCTCCTCCCACTTCTAGCTTTTTAACTTCTCCTTTGAGAGATGTGATTGTGCAGAACCTCAGTGCCTCAAAGAAATCTCATCTTTTTTTCCTGTGTGAAACCTATCTCTTTATCCTACATCTCTGCCTCCGCACCGAGATTACTCGCCACCCCACGCCCACCTCCAAAGATTTCTGAATCTCAGTGTCTCTCACTCCTGGCAATTAAGTAGCAGATCCCAGCATTCTAGTCGTTGGCATCTCGCTCCGCACCGACAAGGACTCCATTAAAACAGATCAATTAGACCAGACGTTGGAGGAATCAGAAAATCGGCTGCTCTACAGCGCAGCTAAATTCTTTAAGGAAACGAATGCCCATTAGAACTGCCAGCCGATATTGCAAAAAGGAGGGCTCAGGGATGTCTTTCGCTGCGCCATATCAGCAGAGACAACATAAATATAAGCTTAATGTAGATCAAGATTTAGCAACAACCCAGTTCAGAGTGAGAACAAGTCATTTTTCATAGCAAGGCTGGTGTGGTGACTAATCACGCTTATGAAAATAAGCCATGCTTGAAACTAAAGGCAAAGTCCTTAAAAGTGTTTACGCAGTAATTACGATAATGAAACGCGACCTGCTAGGATTTCAGTGTTGGGCTACATAAGTAGAATTTTACAGAACCTCTTAGCAGAGTAGAACTGTTATTGAATTCTCTGCTAAGTAAATTTTTGGCATGCTTTCTAATAATATGTACTCTTCCTAAGACATTTTGCCCAAAGTAACTTAAAACTCCAAAGGAGTTAATTACTGGTTGTGACTGGTTAACAAATGCAGTTGCTTCCACAGAGGTTCTTTAAATTATTAAACAGTTTGAAGCAAAGCCTTTCCAATAAGAATGCTGTGATTTTGTTCAGTTTACTTTGTGCTTAGTGTTACAGTGCCACCAAGAAACAAATTCTGAAACTGGCAAGCACCACCAAGTGGCAGAAGAACATCATTCACTGAACAGCATAGTGTTACTGGACACGTAAATACAAATATATACATTATTTAGCCTCATCATTAGAGCCATGGATATAGTCAGACATTAAATTTTATGGCAATGAAGATTGGACTAGTGAGTGGATTTGTGCTTCAACTGTTTTCCCAACGGGGTCAAATCACTTTACTTATTAGTACTGAATTTAAAACTAGCTATGCATTGTATTTTCTGTTGTGTATTACAAAAATACTGGTAGTACAATCCAATCATATGCATTTGCAAACTTTCTAATTTTAAAGGAGTATACAATATTTGTTTTCAGTATTCCTGAGCTAAAACAGTTTGTTTGTGGCATATTCACTCTGCAATTGACTCAGTGAGTAAAGATGTCATATATTTAAGCAGAAATAGAACGGAAAATTTTTTCCAGAAACCTTTTATTAAAAGGCTTTTTTTCCCCACAAGATGGAAAACATAGTGAATAAGTGTGAGATTACTCAAGAGATTTAATGTGGGTTTGAAGGAAGGGAGAAGAAATTCTAAAATAAAAAGAAAGGTAATAAATGAACACACAGCCAAAAAGAACTGTCCTTCCTGATCTCTAAGAGTGTCTTATGCTTCAATAATGGTAAAATGTACAGTATGCTTCTTAGGCTCCAGACACTATGCTGTACAGGAAGGAATATATTATTTTTATTTAATCTCCACAACACCCTCTGATAGACAAGGAATTTATTATCCCCATTTGAAAGATAAGGCATATAGCTTTTAAAGCATCAAGGAACTTGCCCCATGTAACAAATCTCAGTGACTCAGCTGGGACTCAGTTTTTGTCTGATCATCAGAGTTGAAGACTTAAGTCACCATTTTCGGCTGTATGGCTGCCTCTTAGCCTCTGAGAAGGGAAGAAACTAAGTGAGAACATATCGATTCTGTCCATGCAGCCTCTTTGCCTTTTTTATGGAGTGGTGGTAAGACCCAAAGTCAAATTTCAACTATGGACAATGAGATCTAGTGATTTCCATAATTGCACTTTATGTGAAGTAATTCATGCGAATTACTTGAGAAGTTTTTTGGAGGATGAACAAATTGAAGGCCCTACTAGTAGAGGTTCTAATTCAGAATGTCTGAGGTTAGACCATGGAATCTATATTTTAATATTCAACCTTATTTGAGCACAAAGGTACTACCTACACTTAGATGACAAGCAAAAGGCTATGTGGATTCTCCAGTTTTCACAGGACTTTTGGCAGAGAGGTTTCTAAACCAGGATGAAGGCTTATACTCTGTGTGCAGATGAGCTGTAGTTCACTTCTGTCTATCTACTAGTAAGTACAGAATTTCCTTATGCATATATTCATCAGATATATACTAAGCTTCTAATATGCATGACACAGTAACTTTATGAGTATACACAGTTTCCTCATTTATAAAATGTAGATAATAATAATACCTACCTCCTAGGAGTCTTCTGAAGATTAAAGGAGATATAATGTATAATTTAATGGTAATAGCCTTAGAGAGAATCCCAATCTAAGTGTCTAAATGAATGAATGAATACACAATTATGTGTGTGTGGTTATATCTTTTTATATATGTAATCAAAAGTAATGAAAGTGCATAATCTGTTATTAATAATGAAGCATAGTATCATTCTCATATCTAACCCAATACCATAACATTGTGTCACTTAATTCTAGCCTAATTCAGATATATAGTCATAAATCATTATTCCCTCTGTTTAAACTTATAATTTATTAATATATAAAGTGCATATTATATGATCAGTAAGTAATAAATATATTAAACATTAAATGCTTAAATTTGTAGACCAAAGCTATCAACATTGTTTCAGAGAAGTCATCTTCATTTCAGGTTGATTATTTTACTGAGAATAATTAAATTTTCTATTTTCCCACCCTTTGTTACAATTAGTTAATGATGCATAGATAAAAAAAATAATTTTATAATGTAAAAGGCATTTTCCTATGCCTTATTGATTACTGTGCTCTTAATTATTTTTGATAGTTTATGTTTAGATTTGCAATTTCAGCATTAGAGAAATTATCTCCTGTTTGGGCCATGGGCCCC